CTCCCCCCGCCCCATATATCGACATTTCCAGCACGTCCCCGGAAGTCGTCCATGCACAGGTATCATCTGATTGACATGTAGATGAAACCTACATAGTTGAACAGAGGGCGGAACTAAAAACGAGAGAACGTCGGGTGTTTAGCTGGGATTGCTTCGCATCAGTTGACTTCAGCTGCTTCCATTTACGAGGACCTAAGCCACTGCTAACTGTGATTTACGTAGCTGATTTCACAGGCAGATTGCTATCTTACGATATTCACAAATGTGCGTCTATTTCTGGTTGCAAACGTTAGCTGGGGTATGACTGCTTAAGGCTAGCCGACAAAAGTCCGAAATGGTTGTCGTCTTGGGCTCCTGTAGCTGGCGTTCTCCAGTTGTTATTTGTCTGGTTGACTGCTTTGTGGCCTACCTTGTGATCGTCTGTTAATGATTCCCACAGCAACATCTCTGGACGTATGTTCTTTGGAAACGCGAACGCATCAGTGTGTGCCTGTTCTCAGGTGCTATGTATGCATGCCGAGTAACTCAAATGCAACTGGGACATTACTATTATTATTAAAAGTTAAAAATATATGGAACGAAAGTTAATTACATAACCGATTCATTTAGTGAACGATTTCGTATTTGTGTTGCAATGAATAGTTTATATATTGAGCATTTGATTTACCTTTTTGCCATATAACCTTTGCTTCATTTCTTTGTAGCTTTTAATAATAGTCAGGGTTTGGTTATATCTGGGTTACACCGTACTCCTCTAGCTGCCTTTTTTTCTGGTGAAAAAAAACTCGAATCTATTGCGTTTCCCACAACATAATGAAGTAGAACACCTATGGTTCCGGTTTGAACAATAATAAATATCTTTGCCTCGACACGAATTGGAAAAACCGCCAAGACGGGGCTCAAACTCAGGTGCAAGACAAAATCCTCTCTCGGGTCACGTAGCCCTTATTTGTATTCTGTTAAATCCTAGATATTGCAAAGACCTTGGCCGATGCTAGGTGCTGAGCGGTGCGATAGAAGCATAGACGTCCAATGCAATAAACAACTTAGCAGACCTTATCTAAAATTGATTCGACCACCCTTCACGTTGCAAAATAACCTGCAATAATTACGGAAGAAAATCAGTCTATAACATTAAATCTCTGACCAGAAATAAAGCCATTTTCCACTGCGAAAAAAAAACCTTAAATTCACTGACGGCTCCTGTCCACCGAATGATGGTATTTGGACAGTATGTGTGCATTAGAACACAGCCGTGTTTGGACAGATATAAATGGTCGGAGACTTGTGGAGCATAATTATTTCGTTCTTCAGGCCCCAACTTTTATGCTCGTAGATATGCGCGGTTTTCCAACCAAACTGACAGTATTATCTGATTTTTGTTTTTAAGGAACCCATTTGATACAAAAACTTGCACTTTTAATGACTTAAAAGCGCGAAAAAGCTCAGTTCTGAGGGACGCGAGCTGTTTGTACCGCATAGCCGCAGAAA